GCCAACAACTCAAAAGAAGGTATCGCCTATCTGGCATTGTTGCTTGTTATGTAGCCTTTAGCTATACATATGAACTCTTAAAAAATGATATTGGCCCCTTTAGTCTTTGGTTATACTTTCCTTTTGGGTGCTTAAGGCCATACAGGTGGCCCAGATAAACCAATTTATTATTACTCTTAAGGTCGTTTGAGGATCTGTTCCTCAGGGGTCACATGGGCTTGGGAGGAGCCCCTGGCTCCTTTCTTTTACCAGTTCCATCTATGAGAAGATAAGCCAAAGGTCCTACTCGACCATGACTGGTTTCACTTGGAAGCATGGAGGAAATGTTTCCTCTGTGTTGACTCTCCTCTTTGCAGACTGGACCTGGGTCAAGTACATTTAGTGGGGTCACCATGGCCTCCTTGATCAAGAGAACAGGTGACACACCACAGTTACAGGACATTTTGAGAGATGTTCATAGTCCCCTGGAACTTAGTCAACCTAGGAGGGCAAGGAGCAAAAACTGTCCTGTATGTCCCTCTGACCAAATTACTAAAAGCCTCAAAGTATGGCTGTTAAACTTACAAGAAAGTTAGTTCCACCAGTATGGTACTTTTAATTACCATGTGCCATGTAGCTAAAGCTTAGGCAAAGACCAAACATTCTCAGATAAACCTTGCCTAGGCATATATTATATTCCTTGATCTAGTTGTATTAAAATTTGTCAGTAGGTTGTTGGACTAATATGGTTCCCTCTGGAAAACTAGCTAGGCATTATTTATCTCTTGAATTGTTTAACCCTTCCACCATGGGATTTTTTCTCATTTCTCCCTTAATAATACCCTTCTCCTATGGTCCCATCTCTCTTGAGCTCCTTCTTTCCCTTTATCCCATAGGTTCCTTGTATAACCTTCCCTACCCCCTCCCCTTAAAATAATCCCATTTTGATCCCTATCTCCCTTATTAATTCCTGTTTCCTACTGTTCTTCTCTTTCAGATTATTTCATTTCCTTTACCTCCCTGATTCCTTTTCATTATCCTGGTCCCTGTAGTTATATCTAGATACATAATCACTTACCAGGATTTGGTGCTAAGATCCACATATGAGGAAGAACATATGTCGTTTTTTTGTTTTGTTTTGTTTTTTTCTGAGTCTGTGTTACTTCACTTAGTATAACAGTTTCTAGTTCCATCCATTTACCTGCAAATTTCATGATTTCATCTCTCTACTGCTGAGTAAAACTCCATTGTAATAAATGAACCACATTTTCATTATCCACTCATCAGTTGAGGGACACTTAGAATTGTAATAAACAT